GTTGTATTATGCATTTGACAGTATGGGGTAGTATAGATCAGGGGTCTGCAAACTTTTTCTATAAAGGGCCAAACGTAAATATTTTAGGCTTTGCAACCAGCCTCTGTTGTCATGTTCCAATGACTTTTATTTAGAAAAGCCGGCAATGGGTCAGACTTGAGGTAGGTTTGACAGACACCTCGTCCATCATGCACAGAACCCTGGCCATCCAGCAACACTTGGAGCATGTTTCCCCAGACCCCGGTGCTCACTGAGCACCTTCAGCCCAGCTCAGGTGGTGGGATCACTTGTGTTCAAGAGGGCCAGCCCAGGAGCCTGGCACCCTCCCAAACCTTCCAAAAACAAACAAACAAACAAACAAGCAAACAACAACAACAACAACAAAACCAGGTCTATTAATTTCCCTGCTGTCAGATACTGACCAACCCTCCAGGAATGTCCCCCCTCTGTCAGCACCCTGGGTGCTGGGTACCACAGCGGAGGCCGCACAGGCACTATCCCAGTGCCAGAGGCTGTCCGGAGGCAGGCTAGTCCCAAGAGGAATGGGGTCAGCTCTCCCCTCCCCTGTCCTAAAGGAGAGAGATTTACTTCTTTGGTGAGAACGGTAAAAAGAAGGATTCCCCATCTGCTTGGGTGAAGGGCTGCCATATTTACCAAGAAAAATGTCCAGGCCATGTCAAACCAGGGTGTGACATTATGGTTGTGGGAAGGGAGGGCAGATATGGAGAGAACCCCAGGAGAATGTTGTCTGCCCAGCCCCTCACCCAACCTGGGACCCACTATAGGCTCATGGAGGAGAAGGGCATGTGAGCCTTCTGGATGCCCCAGTCAGTGTGTGGGATCAGCTCAGGGCCCAAATCCCTTTCACAAACACCCCCACACTTCCTGGGCCACATTTTGCTGCCAGCAGCTGAACAGGGGCCACGAGGGCCTGGAGAGGGTCAACGCCTGGGGACGAGCAGTATGGGAGTCTTGCATGGGGCATCCTGGTGCCCCTACAAGGGACAAGGAGACAGAGTTGTAGGCCCTCCCCTGCCTGAACCTCTCCCCTCCCTGGGTGCTGCCCTTCACTTTCTCCATGCCTCCCACCTGGGTAGCGCCAGGTCAGAGTGGGGACCTGGGCAGGCTGGCCCCTTAGAGCTCACCAAACCCCACAGAGCCAGGTGGGGGCCATCTGCTGTCTTCTGTCCCGGCACAAAGTCTGTCTGCTTCAGCTGCCAAACGTGTTAAGCCTCAGTCTGTGGTGGTAAGATTGGGTTTTCATCCAGTTTTGCCAGGCAGCCTGACACACAGGTGTGCTTGGAGGAAACAGATAGCACTCTTTGCTCAGGGCTCCTGGCATCTCCTGTGTCCCTGGACCCTGACGCTGTGTGGTCAGGGGAGGCCCCGCCTGGTGACCCACTGTATGCGCTGCAGGCCAGAGCTCCCAGCCAGTAAGCTCAGAGCTCCTGAAGCAGACACTGTCCTGACCTCTTTTCTTTTTGAGGACCTTACATTTAGAGAAAGAAAAAGAAGCTCATTTTCCCACTTCTCAGAACTGGCTGGTATTGTGATTTTATCACATTGCTGCTGCTTTTTCTAAATAAAAGAAAGAAAATATCATAGATAAAGGTGCAGTCCGACTTGATCCCTCCCATTCCTGGTCACATCCAGGTCACCCTTCCCCAGGCCACTTTCTGCTGACTTTGGTTTGGGTTTATCATTTTTTTTTTTTAAACCTCGACATTTTTAAGTGTACAGTTCAGTGGAATTAAGTGTATTTCCATTGTTGTGAAACATCTCCAGGATTCTTTTCATCTTGCAAAACAAACTCTACACCCATTAAATAACAACTCTGGGCAACCACTTTTCTACTTTCTGTCTCTATGAATTTTACTACTTGGAAGTGCCTCGTGTAAGTGGAGCCATGCTGTATATTTGTGACTGGCTTATTTCACTGAGCATAAATGTCTCCAAGGTTCATCCATGTTATAGCAGGATTTCCTTCCTTTCTGTGGCAGAACAGTCTTCTGTTGCACATTTTGTCCACCCATCGATGGACACTTCTACCTCTTGACTATTGTGAATACCACTTGGAGACCCTGCTTTCAGTTGTTCTGCTATACACCCAGGAATGGGATTCCTGGATCATATGGTATTTCTATTTTTAATTTCTCGAAGAACCTCCATCCTCTTTTCCTTAGTGCTCCACCAACTTATATTTCCAGCAACAGTGTGCCAGGGTTTCAACTTCTCTGCATCCTTGCCAACACTTGTTATTGCCTGGGGTTTCGGGGCTTTTTTTTTTTAAATAGAAGCCACCCTCATGAGTGTGAAGTTCCATCCTGTCCCTCTTTATTCAGAGATCTAGATCTTGAACACTTTTGAAATGCTGTGTGATGTCTGCATATATAGTGTCACACACCAGTCAGCAGGTTGCTTTTTCCACTCACCGTTTGATGTTGACCCACATAGATTGGCTGAGTCATAGTTACAGCTGACAGTATTCCCTTGTACGAGTGGACCTGGCTATTGGACCTGTTCCCCTGCTGCTGTTCCCCTGCTGCTAGACATCTCTCTTGTCTCCACTGCAGGCACTACATTCACTGCATTTGGTGGTCTCTTTCTACTGAGCTCTGAGCTCTTCCGGTGCAGCCATCATCCAGCCCATCCCAGGGTCCCAGCATGCAGCCCAAGGGCTGGAGGGTGGCCTCTGGAATTTTGCCAGGCTATCCACAGCAGGGACCCAGTAATCAGTCCTGGCAGGAGAGCCCCAGGCTGTCACCAATAATCAGCTAGGTTTGCAACACACAGCCAAGATTAGCAACATAAAAATAGTTGTTCTTTCGTAAGGTGGTGTGGGCAGCGCTTCTCAGGATGCCTTGTGGTCTGAAGGGGGCACGTGGTATGTGACTCAGGGGGCCGAGCACCCCTCTTGTGCAGTGTGTCCGACCCCCATACGGGGCCCTGCTCTAGCTTCCCACGAGCGGTCTGACATACAGAACTGCACTGTGGTGACCCAGAAATACCACATGTGTGATCAGCTTGGCCAGGGTCATGCTGTGTGTGCCTGTACACATGGTGCTGGCAGTGACATCAGCTGTTACCTGCTTCCTCTTCAGAAGTAAGAGCTAACTCATGCACGGTGGGTGTCTGGGAGCTTCGGAAAGGTCCCTTCGTTCACTAGCGACTTACAAAACACTTAGCACTGTTCCAAGCACTGGGGATACTGTAGCAAACAAGAAAAGGCTCCTACTCTCATGCAGCTTACAACTGAGTGAGGAAAATAGAAAACACATAAGCAAGTGATAGATAGACAAGAAAATATAAAGTCCTAATAAGTCCTGTAAAAAAAAACCAAAACAGGGTAACATCTTCGAGAAAGGGTCAGCAAACTTTTTCTGTAAAGGGCCAGAGAGTAAATATTTTAGGCTTTATGGCCTATAGTCTCTGTCACCACTAGTCATCCCTGCCTTTGCAGCATGAAAGCAGCCACAGACAATTGTAAATGAATGAGAGTGACCATGTTCCAATAAAACTTTATGTACAAAAACAGGCCATGGGCCAGACTTGGCCCTCAGGCCATAGTTTGCCAACCTTGTCCTGGGTCTGGGGAGAAGCTACCTGAGCTGGGGTTGTCAGAGACCCTTTCTGAAGGGAGATAAGAGCTGAGAGGTCTCAGGAGGGAGTCACAGGAGGGAGCCAGCATGGGAGAGCCTATCTCAGGCAGGCATGATAGCGCCTTGCTGCAGATTCAACGGGGTAGCTGTGTAGTGAGAAGCAGGCAGCCTCTGGCTCAGTGTGAGAGAGAAAAATGGCGGAGCTTGCTTATGGGCTGAATGTTGGAGGTACAGGAAAGAGGAAATTCAAGGATGAGTCCTAGATTTGGGTGAATGGTTCTGTTTATGGAAAAGAAGAAAAGCTGGAGGAAAAAGCTGGGTTTGTGTTGGGCATGTTGAATTCGAGGACCTTTTCTTAGATGAGCGGGTGAGAAATCACGTGAGCAGGTGGACACCCACAGCTCAGAGAGAAACCAGGACCGGAGGCTTGACCTGGGGAGTCAGTAGTGTTTGGGTGGCCTTCAAAGCCATGAGTCTGGAGGATCAGGGGAATATGTGTGGACAGAGCACAGGGGGCCTGCATGAGACCTGGGCCACTGACATTTTGTGCTTGGCAGGGGAGGACAGAGTGGGCCTCACACTCCACGGAGAAAGGCACTGTCTCCCGGGGTACAAGCTCTGGGCCCCCTACTTACTCACAGAGCCTCACTTTCCCTCCTGTCAATGTGGGATTCTACCTCCTAGGATTGGTGTGAGGATTAAATAAGATGTTCATGCTTGACGTGCAGAAAGCACTCAGCACATGGTACCTGTGATGATGGCAGTGGTGACCACTGAGCTCACAGGCTGTGTGAGTGGGTTGCAGGTCTGTGATGGTTTGGCTTGATGGATGGGGGAGTCAGTGGTGGGTTAGGTATGCAGACCCCCATGGCCTGGCACTTGGTGTCCTGGTACATGCACCTGTGCCCTTCCACCTGGGGCAGGCCCAACGTGCCAGGTCCTCAGTGCCCCTGGAAGCCCCTGATGGGAGTTGGGGCTCAACTGGGGCGGTCAGCGCTGAGACGCGTTCTACCCTGTATCCCAAGGCTCCCCAGGGAATCGAGCCCCTACTGCCCACAGTGGTAGCCTGGCGCAGCCACACGTCCCATCCCCAGCCGACTTCCTCATGCCCCTCACGGGGGAATCCCCCTTCATCTCTCCATAGCTAAGAGTTGGCTTCTGGGACACCGAGTTTGGTTGGTTGGGTGGCTGTCTAGGCCCTCTGGGTCGCAGTAGGGTAATGAGTGGCTTGTCTGGCTGGGTGGGTTCAGTGAGTTGGCGGGGCGGGCAGTGTGGTCCCACCACCACTCCCCCCCCCCCCCCCCCCCCCCACCTCCCGCTCCCTGCTTACCCCCGGCTGTGCCGGGCAAACTGATGCCTCCCTCACCTGCTGCTCCTCCCACAGCCAGGCTGCCAGAGAAGATGGTGGATTACCTGGCCAACACGGAGATCAACAGCCAGCGCATCGCCGCGGTCGAGAGCTGCTTCGGGGCATCCGGGCAGCCCCTGGCCCTGCCAGGCCGGGTGCTGCTGGGCGAGGGCGTGCTGACCAAGGAGTGCCGCAAGAAGGCCAAACCGCGCATCTTCTTCCTCTTCAATGACATCCTGGTGTACGGCAGCATCGTGCTCAACAAGCGCAAGTACCGCAGCCAGCATATCATTCCGCTGGAGGAGGTGACGCTGGAGCCGCTGCCCGAGACCCTGCAGGCCAAGAACCGCTGGATGATCAAGACGGCCAAGAAGTCCTTCGTGGTGTCGGCCGCCTCCACCACGGAGCGCCAGGAGTGGATCAGCCACATCGAGGAGTGCGTGCGGCGGCAGCTGCTGGCCACGGGCCGCCAGCCCAGCACGGAGCACGCGGCGCCCTGGATCCCCGACAAGGCCACAGACATCTGCATGCGCTGCACGCAGACGCGCTTCTCGGCCCTCACGCGGCGCCACCACTGCCGCAAGTGCGGCTTCGTGGTCTGTGCCGAGTGCTCCCGAGAGCGCTTCCTCCTGCCGCGCCTGTCGCCCAAGCCCCTGCGCGTCTGCAGCCTCTGCTACCGCGAGCTGGCCGCCCAGAAGCGGAAGGAGGAGGAGGAGGAGGAGGAGCAGAGCGTGGGGTCCCCCCGGCAGCCGGCCTACCTGGCCGGGGCCATCTGCGGAGCATCCAGCGGGGACGATGATGACTCTGACGAGGACAAGGAGGGCAGTGGGGACGGCGACTGGCCCAGCCACGTGGAGTTCTACGCCTCCGGCGTCTCCTGGTCGTCCTTCCACAGCTGACCCGAATCTGCAGCTGTGCGGGAGGGCCTCCCAGGTCCCTTCTGCATCCAGTCAGACTCCATTGCCCGTGCTCCTGAGAGAACAGAGTTCCCAGACTGCCCAGCAGCCCCCAGGACCCTGCCCCGTGGGTGGCAGGCGCAGTGGGAATGGCTCTTTCTCTCTCGGCCCCCAGTGCCTTTGGGCTGGACGTTGGCAGCCTCTGCTCCACTTCAGGTAATTCTCTTTCCAGTTAGCAAACTCAAACACTTTGGCCTCTTGGGAACAAATTTATTTCTCAGCCCTATGAGCTGTAGCCCCAGATGACCCCTTGAACTAGACAACCCCGGGTACCTGTCAGGACCAGAGGGAAGGTAGGACTGGAGCGAGGTCCCCTGTTCTCTGAGGACGTGCACCACAGCACCTGGCCCTGGGACAAGCACACCCCCAGGGAAGACTGGGAGCCCTAGAAACCACGGTCTGCCCGTGCACCTTGCTGAGGCCCACCGGCCTGGGTGGCCTTGTCAGGCCAGGCATGTGGGCTCACCTTGAGCCAGGCAAGAGAGCCATGCTCCGAGTACCCACCAGGCTTGGTGCAGCCTGACTCCTGGGGGTCCAGGGCAGTCTGCCCAGGCCTCTGGCCCCATCTCACCTCTGTCCAGCTGTCCAAGAGTCTGATGCCTCTCAGTCCAGCCCTCCTCTCTCCCTGTGGCTGGGGAAGGCAGCGTTTTCTGTTAGGACTCTTCACTGCAAGTGACAGAAACCCTACCCAGACTGATTTAACAATAAAAAGAACGTTTATGGACTTGTGTGGTCAAAAAGTTCAGGAGGATTTTGCTTCAGACATGGCTCGTGAGGGGCTGAAACCATGCTGGTGGCAAATGTCAACAATTGTGTACCACGCTGGGTGTTCCTGGGAACACTGGCAGCTTAGTGGGGTCAGACATTCACACCACGTGGATGTGTTCTTGGCTGGTTCCCAAGGAAACCTCGCCATCCATCTGGGTACTCTAACCATGGCCCAGCACCTGTAGCCCTGCTCACGTGGTGTGAGTCATCTAAGTGGATGGACAGCGAGTAAACACGGAGCCACTTGTCCAGCTCTGCCTGGGCCTTCCAGGCTCAAAGCTCTCCCATGTGGCCTCCTGCCTGGCCTGCTCCTGGGGGTCGTGTCACTGAGTGGGAGAGCCCCAAGTGCAGCGACTGGCCTTGCTCAGAGCGAGTGTGTTGGGACTGGAGCTTGAAGGCCAGCCTCCTGATGCCTGGCCTGCAGCTAGCCATAGGGTTATGGGTCCTTTGATGGTCTCCTGCATTTGCTTCTGACCTGTGGCAGAAGAGGGGAAGATCACTGTCAGCTAGAAGTAGTGACTCTGGGGGAAGGAAAGCATCCCCTAGCCCTCATGGCACAGTGGGCTCTGGCCAGGATCGGAGGTCTCAACCCCATTATCTGGGCTCCAGGCCCTAGGTGAAGAATTGCCCTCTGCCAGTTCTCAAATCCTCACGTGCAAATAGAATCCTGAGGGTCTGGTTAGAATGCCACCTCTGATTTGGCAGGTCGCTGGATCCCAGGGACGGCAAGCCTCCAGCCCAGTGAGGGAGGATAGAAGAGGTAAAGTGTGAGGCACCGGGGCCTGCCTATGGCCTTTCTGTGCAGGCAGAGGAAGCAGGTGGGAGAGGGTCAGAGGTACTTCTGAGAACGTGTTGGTTTTCAAGCCCTTGGTCTCCCTGAGCCACACAAACTGGTCCAGGTTGGTTCTGCCTGGGCGGAGGGCTCAGGGCAGGACACATCACAGGATGAGAGACAAATTCCTAAAGACAGATCAGATACCCTCTCACAGCCAGGCCAGGCAGCCCCATCCCTTCACCCCAGAGCTGGTGCTAGGGCGGGGAGTGCCCAGCTCCAGCCACTGGCCTCTCGATCACAGCCGCACTCTCCTGGAGCCTCCCTTGCCTGGTAGAGGGGAGTAGAAGCAGCAGGGGCAGCATTCACTTGGACAGGAAGGATGCCTGCAATGGATCCTGGGCACTGCCAGCCTTCTCTACAGGTGCCTGACACGGGGGCACAGAGCACAAGACCCAGGCATGCAGGGCAGGTAACCAAGGTCCATGCCTTCCTCACCAGGGCTGGGCAAGTGGTGCCTTGTCCCTCAACCTGGGACCCTTAGACCTGCTCTCCTTGTACCTCCCCCCACCCAGGACTGGGAGAGGGTGGCTGCTTCCTTGAGCCCCAAGGTGTTAGGTACAGCCTGTAAGGACCCAAGGGCTTGAGTGGCCAGCAACCTTTGGAGGGCTTTCATTCATGCAGATTCATTGCTCTGTGCCATGCCAGGTGCTGAGGACACAGCTGTGAGTAACACAAGGTCCCCACTCTTAAGGTTTCTCCTCTGGCGGAGGAGACAGGCACAGAAGCTGGTGCTGTAGGTCCTAGTATGTGCTGTGATGGGACAGGGACTGAGGTATGACATAGTGGGCAGGTGGAGGGCAGCACGCCACAGAGGCAAGCTCCCTGTGATTGGTGAGAGTGTCAGCAATGCCATATGGGGAGATGGTGTTCCAGTCAGAGGGAATGACAAGTGCAAAGGCCCTGAGGAGGAGAGGAGTCCATGTGTTCTGGATCAGCATGGCTGGATTGAGGGCAGAGAGGAGGCAGGACCAGCTCGGATGTGCCGAGAGCCACTGGAACCTTCAGCAGGGCAGCACGTCTGCTCTCGGCTTTCAAGAGCTTGCCCTGACAGCTGTGTGCAGATGGCTGAGGCAGAGAGAGGGGCTGTACAGCCCCCCAGACCCCTAGGATCCCTGAGACAAGGAACTAGGTTCCACTGAGGCCTCATCTGCCTGTGGTGGTGGGTGGCAGACAGCTGGCCTTGGCTGTCTCCATCTCTTCCTAAAGAGCCGGCCCCTCCCCTGTTCTACAGGATGTTCTGGATGACTGCAGATGGTGCATCAGGAAGCTAAATAAATGCCATGGGCTGAACTTTGCCCTGGGCCAGTGAGGTCGAGTGATGACCAGTGCCCCTGGCCACTAAAGCACACAGGGGAATGTGTTGGGAGGAAGCAGGGCCTCTCAGAAAAGAAGATCTGGGCCCAAGAAGAGAAGGGGATGCCTCAAGAGACCCCATCTCTCACTCTTTTACGTCTGCTCCCCTCCAGAGACAACCTTGTCAGCCTGGCTTGGGTCAAGGGTCAGGCCAGGCCCTGCTTCCAGCCACCCCTGCCCCAGGCTGTTCTGAAAAGAGGCTTGCTGTCCACCAGGCTGCTGGGTTCTGCGTTCTCTCACCTGCCTCCCCAACAGGTGTGGTCCTGAAAAGCTCTGGAGTTGCCCCAAGCTAAGGCCACACAACTGACCCTCGCCCTTGGCTACCACTCCACCCCCACACATGCAGGAGGTCAGGAGTCCTCAGGCTGAATCGACGCCTCTGCTCTTCACAATGTTCCCTTTCCCCAGAATGAAGCTTGAGGTCTGGCTGCAGGACTGGGTCTGCTGGGCCTACGTGCCAGCCTTCCCTCTCTCCTGGGGCTTCGCTTACAAGGCCTGGCAAGGGCACGGGAACCGGCTGTCCTGCCAGCCAAGTGCTCCCGTCTACCGCCTGGGAATCCTTCCTCCCAGCTGCGCGTGGACTCGGAGTGCCTGCCAGAGGCTGATCGTTCAGCCCGGGGAGGGGCCTCTCTTGCCCCTCCTCCTGGAAGATGGAGATGGGCCAGGGGAGGTTCTGAGGACCAGGCCCATGCCTATGAGGGGCACTGGAGCCCCCCACCACCTCAGCATTGCCTGAAGCGCCCTTTTGGCATCAGCCCTGACAGAAGTCGCTCCAGGTGGAAAGTGGAGTCTCAGCAGTGACCTCATGGCATTTGGGGACTGACTGACAGGCAGGCCCTTTAGAGTTTGACCTGCCCCTGGGCAGGGATGCGGTGCTCCTGAAGGACTCTGAGGATACTGAGGGAGGCCTCTGCGGGCAGTAAGCCAGTGACCCCTCCCTGGAAGTTTTGACTATTGGGATTTTTAGGTGCTGAGTCTTCTTAAATAGGGCCCACCTGCATGGGTACTGGGCACAATTGCCAGAAGCAGGGAGTCAGGCAGGGGGTTGACAGGACCGGAGGAATCTTATCCCTCCTTGATGATGGTGGGGGCAGTGGTACTGGTGCTGGTGGTGACAGCACGTGCCACTTTCTGAGAGCCGTCTCTCAGTAAGCCATCTATCAGCATCAGTCTCAGGAAGGCAGAGCCAGGTTACATAAGGCCATCCTGAGTCTGAAGGGGATGTGGCCTGAGTCCTGAGAGAAGGATAGACAAAGCCAGGAGCCAGAGCTCCCAGAACAGCTGTGTGATCAGGGAGGGCTTCCTGGAGAAGGTGGTGTTTGGTTGAGCCTCAAGGAAGTCATGACTTTATCAGAAAGGATGGTAATCTCCATTAGGACTGGAACTCTGGGTCGTTTTATTAACTGCCCTCCTGTCCCTGGCACTGAACATTTGTTGGTTAAATAAATGAATCAAGTAAGAAATGGGGTTGAAGGCAGGGCAGAAGGGATAATAATGAAATGGTCATTGAACCTCACCTCTGGAGCCTCCAGTCAAGGTGCTGGATGAGAATTGTTGGCCCTGGCCTCTTTCTGGAGGGTTGGGGACCAGCACTTCCCCCCAAACACTGACCTCTGCCCTATCAGCAGGGGCAGGAAGTTCCTTTCCACTCCCTTCCAGGCAGAGCTTTCTGGAGATGTGATGTTAAGACCAGTTTGCAGGGGGACATCATTCAGGCTGGCATCAGAGGATTTCAGCTGGCCGGGCCTCTCCCCTGCTTCAGCCTGTTCTTGAGGACTCAGCTAGAAAGAGGATGCAGGGAACATCAGGGCCACTGCTGGACTCAGCTACCGGGCCGACTAGGAGTGACTGCAAGGCTGACCCAGTTCTCAGCCAGGATCCTGGAGCTCGTAGGCCATTCTTGCAAACTGAGGCAGCCACTTCTGCTGGCCTGCCTCTGACCCGGCCTTGCAGGAAGTAACCCTCCTGAGGGCGGTGGGCAGGGGAG